AGGGATGAGGGAAAAAAGATGTTATGAAAATAAAATTATCTAGCATTGATAGAGCTGCAACTACAACCAAATGTCAGGAGGGAATGCATCACCCATATCCTCAACTTATCTGACCCACCACCCTGCCCCAACTCCCTTCTAACTAAGGCCTAAAGACTTTGCATGATCCATGCAGGTTTAAAATCTAAATTTGGATATTGCTCGAGAAACATTTCGATTGGCAAGATATTTCACTTTGTCGCCAATTCGTACAGCAAAACCTCACTGTATAAGCGCCGCAAATTACCTAGATCAGTTCAATACACATAAGAACTATAGCCAGATCAAAACCCACAAGTTACTGTTAGTTCTAACCCTCATGAACCTGAACTAAAGCATCCTCCCCGCCAAAAAGACGAGGGAAGACCATGTCATGCTACTGGACCTCGATGTCTTTAAAACAATAAACAGAGGTGCAGTTATCTTGTAATACAGCAATAACCTATCTCACAAGAAAACCCACAAACCAATCATTTCTGCACACTCTAACAGCCTGTTTGGATACAATTCCACAAGAAATGGAAATGGATTTCCATTCCCAATTCTAACTTTTATGGAATTCCATTTCCAATATTTGTGTTTGGCATAATTCCAACAACTATGGAAATGAATTGTATTCTTTAACAATCATTAATGATTTAGTAGATTTTTTTATCTTGGGAAATGAAATATGGATGAGAGAGAAAGAGAGAAATAAGATAGTGGAATTATAAAATAATAATAAATATGAATGGGTCCCACTAATTCCATCTCCATAAACCCAATTCCTATCACTTTTGATAGGAATTCTAATTTCCAATATTTTAGTCAAATGGAATTCATTTCCCAACCTTCTTACCATTCCAAACATGAAATAATGAAATAGAATTGGAAATGGAATTCCAATTCCTGAGTTTTTTGTCCATCCAAACAGGCTGTAAAGCAGAATGTTTATCCACAACTTCAGCACAGTTTAAGAACATAGCTGCCACAGCGGAGGAAAAAGAAGATACCTTCTCAAAAGCAACAATCAGATTATCTCGTGCTGTCATAAAAGGATTGTCGACTGCCAGGCTCCTAAAGTAACGGTACACTGCCCCCAGCTCATCACCGGAATATGAAGCCAAAATAGCAAGCTGAACAATATATTCAACAATCGTCAATATCAATGCCTCAAAATAGATCTAGCATATCTAACAAAAAGTAGTCATATCCAATATCAACCTGGTGATGCGGATTGCCACTTGATGGCAAAAGAGATGCAGCCTGCAAGTAGTAACTTGAAGCTGCAGCGTACTCGCGTATTTTAGAGTCACCATCTCCATATAGTCCTTTGTACCTTGCAAGATCACCAAGGTATATCAAACACCGGTGGCAGGAAATCAATCCTTTCTTGATATCAGCAGATTTCTTCTCATCTTTCTCCATAGCAACTCTGTCATCCGCGCCATCTGAGAAGAAACCCAGGGGAAGCCCGTACTTGGCTCTGATTTTCAAAATCAGATCATGATAAAACCCAGTTGCCTCGGAAAGAAATGTTTTAAACTGTAACCGTATCTTTGAGACACGATCAGGACGGACAGGAACCTGAGATGAGTTTGAGCCAGCAGAATTAAGGGCAGCAGTATAGTGAGCTCTCAGTTCCTCAATACGCCTATAGTGCAATTGCCACAACGTATATTCTATGTTGTGCTGCTCAGAAAAACCATGATCCTCAAGAATTATAGCTTCATAGTTCTCACGCATCTGTTGCCAGGCATTGGGATCAGATGGAACCCGTGCCTGAGCTGACTTCCTTCGTTTGTTCTCTAACTCAACGTTCTGAAAATGTGAAGTACTTTATAAGCAAACCAATAATAATATATAAAAGAAAAAACCAACATGCACAAATGTATCTACAAGTTTACCTTCTCATACAGGCGTTGAGCACGATCCCGAGAAGGAGGAGCAGACATTTTATCCATCTGCACAATCATTGTCCATCAATTATATTTGACCACTTTCTATGTGCCTTCAATCTGAAGAAAACCCAGAAACATTACCAAGAAAGGTCTTTAACTATAGTGTCCAGTCATCAGATTTGGAATAAATGAAGCAAGACAAACAGGCAGCATACAGGGTTCAGATCAGAAATAACACTGAAACAATCAAACATGCAATATTGACATTAGGCAGTGAACAACAAGGTGTTCTGGCCCTTCTTCAAATCACAGGAAATAATGGACCAAGGAATGCCTGCTCCAAATCACCATAGAAATGAAAGCACAAATCAAAACAACACCACAACTAGATGCCATCTGTACATCCCCCAACCAGCTTATTTTTCTCCCATTCTTCCTCTAATGTGATTGGTGCTAAATTCATATCAACCTGCTAACGTATTCGAAACTGCCAGAACCATAACCAGAACTTCACACACCTCATAAGACCCACAAGTCAAAGAGTTCAATGTAGGCATCAAAGCAGCTAGAGAATACAGAAAGACAATATTGCCTCCTGCGCAATGCCAAATCATAACACCGAAATTAAACTTGTACACCGAACTCAATTCTAGCAAATGGGGTCAGCTGCCGTATTCCACATTCACAACTCAAATTCACTCACAGCTTCTAGTAATAACCCCTTTCTGTCAACGAGAAGTGGAGAAAGGCCACAAACTCTTCCAATCTCCATCCATAAACACCCTAGAAGACTACCAATACCTTTCAATTTCCCACGTCAACGACTGAGCAAAAAGAACAGATTTCCACCCAGAGGGAGATAAGCCAAGGGAACAAACAAAGAGCAATTGGGGAAACGTTAAAACATCCTCATTCTAATAAAGTCATCCTCTCATATGCGCCTCCCAGCCGCCTCCGCAGACGAATTCACGGCACCCAACAGAAAGTCAATCGTCAAACCAAAAAAAAAAAAAAAAAGAGCAGCTGCAGAAACATTCAAAACGTCGGCCGATCCGCTAACGCCACACCAACCACATACTCCGCTCAGAAACTGTCGATCAATCAGCAGACCTCAGATTTTCAATTACCACAAACGATAAATTCAGCAAGCCAGAACTTCGTAAAAGAAAAGAAAAAAAATCTTCGAAGGGGGAAAATAAGGGACGAAGAGTAAGAGAACGCACCTAACGACGGGAACCAGAGCCAAGAGCGATCTATTCCGAGCAGATCAAACCATCGTGAAGGGGGGAGAAGAAGGCAAACTTAGGGTTAGTCCGTCGTGTAGTCTGGTTTCGTAGAAGGGAAAAATAGAGAGAGAAGCCGAGAGATGAAAAGGAAAAAAAATAGGGAGAGAGAGAAAGCGGAAGACCGAGGAAAAAATATATGTGATTGTGTTATCAACACATTCAATGAGATTTCTTCCTCTTTTCCTAATCCCCTCCGCCTTCCTCACCAAGCCACCAAACCAGGCCCATTCGGCGGCCCCGCTTTTATAGAAAACGACGCCGTCTGCTTATTTACATCTGTCTCTCATTTTGGCCCTCCAACTACACATTTAATTCATTTACACCCTTTTTCCCCATCTTCCTAAACTAAGGAGATTTATCTTTTATCTCCTATTATAAATCTTATATGTTATTACATGGCAATTTCAAACCGCCTGCGGGTATTATCCGACCTAATTTGCGATGGGGCGGGTATTATCTGATCCGCAGTAGCGTATGGTAGGATATTGGTATCTACTTCTGGCTTGTTATGCCATGTTCTTGGTCCATTTTATCTTAATTTTCTTGTGGTATCTATTCATATTTTTCCTATTTTGACTTTTTTCAACTAGTTAGAGTCGATCTTTCAACTTGTTAGACTCAATTACCTATTATATTAACACTATTTTTATTCATAAAGTGTTTTCCCCTTCGTGTTATCCTAAAAAGAAAATTTTCCGTTTATTTTTTTTAAATAACATGTAAAAATGGGTCGACCCGCCTCGCCCAGTACCTGCACGGGTTTTACCCGCCCGACCCACAATGAAGTGGGACGAGACATGAATATTGAGGTACTCGTCTCGTCTCGCCCCGCCCATCAAATGATTTCGTTATCGTAACAACTACCCAGAAAAATGTTAGGAGTATGAAGAGTACGAAGCACTAAGTCCACATTTCACTCTTTAAAATTCCTTTTTGTGATTAGTTACGCGAGATGAATTTTTAGACTATTTTTTGTATGTGTGTTATTTCGAAGATATGAAGTGGTACGTATTGCTCTGATTTAAAGGTTGATTTCTCATCATATATTAATTAATTTTGATTTAAAAAAACATGTGTTTTAGCTATGAAATCATGTTCATATTAGAATCATGCGACCTGTTGAAACAGTGAATTTGGAATGATCTTCAAACTTCAAACTACTTTTATTATGAAGGATGATGAAGGAGTTGCATGATTCAAGATAATATCATGATAGTTCAATAAATTATTCTTCGCTTCAAAAACCGTCGTATGGATAACATCATGATCTTCAAATATAACGGATCAATTCGAACCCAACCATTCTGGTTACCATTGTACGCGATGTTTGTTAGGTTTGTGATCACAAAGTTCAAGCTCTCATTTGCTGCTTTTTGATTGAGTGGAGGCTCGAGGTCTCATTCAAACTTCAAAGCACAGAATGTACTGAAATCAGCAGAGTTCCATCAAGTGCATGCTCTGATTGTCCGACTCTGGTGAAAGCTCTTCTGGGTTAGAGGTGATAAATGGAAAGTAGAAAGCACGTTCCGCCCACACCACTGAATAACAGTTCAACAGAGCTGAAACGGAAACAGGCTCTTTTTTTCATTAACCATCCTCATCAGCGTCACTGCATCGCCTTTCTCCCTGTCAAAGTGCAACCCTGCAACAAATCCTGATGAACAATCTTATACTCCCCTCCCAACTTCTAACCATGGAGAAAAGGATGGCAACAAATGCAGATGCTTTGTTGAGCTACAAGGCTTCAAAGTTCAAACTCTAGATCATTAGAATGTAAGCTACTTTTTGCATTTTTGCAGGCTTTCTTTTAAGGTCATACGTTATACAACTCCCACAAATGTGATCATCAGGCAACCAAGATCTAGACACTAATTTTATTTACATAAAAGCTCTACAAAAGATGCTGAAACGTGGAACGCCAAAGGGTTTGCTGCATTCATCTCTCCTCCATCTTATTCGCAGTAGAGATAAAAACATCGGGTTCTACTGCTGGCTACCTTGTATTCTGCTGAATTTCCAGCCTCTAAAGTTCACATTGCTCAGCCACCCAAAATTTATCAGAGGAACCCCAGATTGTAACTTCACGAGGTGCGTTCTGTACGGTACAAGTATATTTTTCAGACCTGCGACGCATCACAGTGTAAGAAAAGAAGGTTAAGTAACTTCAACATCATTACTACTAGCAATTTTACAACAGCAATCAATAAAACCTTTGGTGTACCTGCGATGGACATGGTTCTGTAAATGTGTGCAACATGAGAATCACCTCTGTTCACCATATTTGGCCTCTCCAAACAATCAAGAAACTTTAAGTCCGCCTTCAACAGCTCGGCTTGATCATGAGTGTCGTACCCCATATCATGGCAGTAGCAGCAGTAATCCAACCAATCGATCGGCCGCTTGTCCCACAGGAGAGAACCCTGATCCTTCCCACTAGACCAGTTTGGCCCACAGTAGTGTCCATAACGAGGGAACAGCTGAGAGAGGAAGGCTCTAGGGCCAGTATGCCATGGAACTTTAGACACATAAGGCCTGAACCGCAAAGGGTTACCCCTAATACCACCAGCACCACCACCCTCCACAACTTGAGCATACTGAGTCCGCCTCTTCAACTTCCTGTTTATGGTGGTTGGTCTTTCCATCTTGATGTTTGAGGCGATCGCCCACGGGATGATCGAAAAGAGTGACCATCCCCATAGCTTGAAACCCGACCCAAACCCACCAGAACCATGCTGGCTCTTTTGCTGCTGTGTCACATAATTGGGTGACACATAAACATTGGTTGCTTCAATCCTTGTTTCAGTGAGCTCTTTTGAATGCATTCTGTAAAAAGAAAGTGGGATGTCAGAAATGGAATCCCCAAGAGCAACAATAAAGATTGATGAGAAGAGAAGCTCAAGATATCAACAGCACCAATCCAAGGGGAAATCTGTCACATGAACCAAACAAAGAGGGGCTTCAGTCACACACGCACACGCACAATCAAATCTGAACCTAAGCAGAGTGGTTTCCTGATTCTTTGTGAAATGAAAGACGACCGTGTCCAAGATTGCAATTATTTCAGTATCGGTGCCGGAAGAGAGATCAGAGTCCGAAAATCAGCGAGACCCGTCAAGAAAACCACCGGCAAAGTTCTAATTACGGAATAAAAAGGGAATTGAAACGAATCCTGAAAAACAAAAGAAGCAAACAACGCCGGAATTGCGTTTCGGGTTCCCGACGAACAACCATACAGACAGGGAGGGAGAGAGAGAGAGAAAACGTACCGAAGCGGTGGTTCGCCGGAGGGGAAAGTGGAATTCTGCCGGGCCGGAGGAGCTCCTTTCATCATTTTCCCTATCGAGAATCGAGAAACAGCATCCTGTTTCTCGAGTGTGGAAAGCGGTGGGGTCTCTCTCCGGCTGATCGTTCTTCGTCGCCGTTGGCCGGTGGTGTGTCTAATCTTTTCGCGTATTTATTTATTATGGCTTTTGTGGGCGGGATTAAAGATTGAAGAAGAAGGCTTATTTTTTCCCATTAAAAAAAGGGGGAAATTGGAAGCTTTTCCTCATCATTCTATCGAAAGAAGGGCCTGGACCCTCCGCCGCTCGATCATCCTTCGATGACTGGAAGCAAAACGCCACGTCTCTATCGTAAAAATAAATGCCACGTCTCTCTGTCGTGGCGTCTCTCTATTGGATGCGCTTTGATGTGGTATTGTGGTACTCCGAGGTTAGAAGACGAAAGCGGATTTCTTGCGAAATGGTACCCATTTTTATCTTAAATTTCTCATTCTGAAAATTCTCTGCAAATTCACAAAGTAGGTCCTCTGCCCAATGCATTTGCATCACCATAATGCAATGGACGTCAAAACAACCCACAAATTCGGCAGTTACAACTTACAAAAAGGGACCAATGAAGATCCTGAGAGCTTAATTTCTAACAATACATCAGCATTGCAGAATCGGATGTATTGCAGAGCGATCATCACCCAGGAATCTCACTGCCTGATGATGAAGGTGCAGCACATCACTGTGGCAAGTAATTTTGTCAAAGAGGGATGATCAACATCATCATACATACTTGCCTCCTGAGGTCTAAAGAAGAGCACCTAGTTCATACCCGAATGATAGACCCAGGAGATGCACATCCCGACCAGTGAATAGAGCCATCGGAGTTGCTGGTCACCGATCCTGCAGGAGGCGGAGACCATGGGGGAGTACGGGTGGCTGGTTGCAAAAGGTGACAAGCCCGGCAGGTGGATGGAGGACGGGAAAGGCTGCAGAGTTCTCCTTCCACGCCTGCAAATGTTGGGATTAAATCATAAATCGATCACAAAGCTGATTCCCATATTCAAATCTGATAAGAGGAAAACACACAGCTATCATTACACTGTACCTTGTGAGTGGATAGTGGAAACTGTTGAACTTCAACTCCAGTTCAGAGAAGAGTCTGCACCAATCATATGCTATGGTTGCAACTGAAATTTAGAAGAGGTTCCGTTACTGTACAGTCCACATTTTCAGAAATAACATACTAATCCAAGATCTCAGCAAGAAAATCATCCAACGGATGCAACACGAGAAAAGCAACAGAAGATTGTTCTCTTTCTCTCCTTTTTTTACCAAAGAAATCACTCTGGTGGCCACAAAAAGGAATGACGTAGGGAAGGAGGAAGACTGCAGTACACTACAAAAGAACAAATATGGCTCCTCCAACTAAGAAATTTGAAAAGCTACATGAAACCAGAACAAGAAATTTGATAGAAGCCATTACTTGTGTTTCTTCTTGCAATTTGAGCCACCTAAAACACAAGATTTAGCTGAACCTAGCAGATGATTCTAGCATCCGACGACCCAACATTTGACACCAAGACCTCTTGCCAGTAGCGATAGGAATGCAAACTGCAAAAATGCTATGTCTGCAGAAAGTAAAACCGTAGAAAGTACACATTAGCCATTGGATATACAAACCTAGCATAGTAATAAGGCGCTAAAAAGAATGGTGAGCCAAGAATCACATACATCCCTTGTAACATATAACATGAAGCCCTTAGAAACTAATGATTTCCTCTTTGCCTCCCAAGTACCAAGCAAAAGGAAGGTCGGCAGCATAATGACAAAAATAACCCTGAAGACTAAGGCAGAAATTAAACAACATAATCCCATTGTTGTATCTATGCTAGAAACGTCAGTCACCACAACTTACAGAAGAATGAATAAAATCAAATTCAATTCAATTATTTTCACCTGATGAGAATTGAGACTCTCCACAGACTTTCTGAACCAGCATTTATTGCAAGGAGATGTGATCATCAAGCAGCAAGTGCCTTGAATTTAGGAATAGCCTCTTTCAATTTCGTCAACACATCATCACATGAGAAGTTCTTTCCTTCTGATATCTCATGACGAAATTCTGGCAAGATCTCTGCAATATTATAATCAGCAGGGCTGTCACATAGACAAACCAAGATCGTGTTGAATATCCTCGAGTCAAGAACAACACCCTGCTCTGCCATTTTATGTAGCAGCTTTATGATGTCTTCAGTGTCACCTTTCGAAACGACTCCTTTCAATAAAGAGTCATATACATGGACATCTGGTTTGATTCCCGAGGAAAGCATTCTCTCAAAGATGCTTCTAGCCTCTTCCACTTGTCCAAGTTTCGCTAATCTATTGATCAACACGGCATAAGTAAAAGCATCTGGAGCAAGGCCCAATTGAACCATGTCATCGAGCAATTTTTTGGCATCCTGTATATTTCCAGCTTTTAGTGTCCCATCAATCATTGTATTGAAGGAAATCACGTCAGGAATATGGTGACAATCTCTCATCTCTTGAAACAACCTCATTGCTTGCTCCACGCTGCTTTCCTTGCAAAGTGATGAAATCAGTACATTGTAGTCGGATAATGTAGGGATAAGCCTGCACATTCTCATTTTAGTAAAAAGTCCTTTTGCTAAATTCAGCAACTGTATCTTACAAAGTCCACCAATCATGAGACTGTATGTTATTGAATTGGGAACAAGCCCCAGTTCGAGAACCTCTTTCCAGAATTGCATGGCTTTGTCAATTGAACCTGCCTTCAGATGCTCCCCAATCAAGACATTGTAAGTAATCAAATTACCAGAACTTCCACGATCAATCATCATATCAAATATTTCCATAGCTTCATCAAGGCGACCTTCCTTGCATAGCCCCTGGATTAGGATGTTAAATGTGAACACATCTGGTTCTATGTGATCACCATCCTTCAGGACAGAAAAGAAAAATTTTAGTGCCTCGTCAACCTGACCATCATTGCTAAGTCCCATTAGCAATGAATTGTAAGACACCACATCAGGTTTCCTCCCCTTCTCCAACATCATTTCCATGATCTTGAAAGCATCAGCGACAAGACCATCTTTGCACAGTCCATTAATTAGAACATTATACATTACAGTAGTAGGCTTTCCATTGCTTGCTATGACTCGATGAAATAATTCTACCGCCTTCTTAGATTTTCCATCTTTGCATAGCCCATCCATCAGACATGTGTGTGTAACAATATCAGGATCAATGCCCCTTTCCGACATAGTGTTTAACATAGTCACAGCTTCCTCCCACTGCCTCATCTTACAAAGGCCATTTAGCAAACAACTATATACAACTACATTTGGAAGAATGCCTCTCTGCAGCATCTCATCAAACACAGCCTTACCTTCATTGTACGATCCTCTTCTACAAAACCCATTTATGATTGTACCATAAACAACAACATCTGCATCTAAACCCTTCTTCTTCATCTCCTCCAACAATGACAAAGCCTCCTCCACTTTACCATCTTTACAAAGACTGTCCATCAGAGTTGCGTATGTGAAGGAATTTGCCTCGCAATTTGCGCCCTCCATTTCTGCTAACAAATTCACTGCGCTTTCTAGTTGATTCTCCTTACACAGACCACTTATGACTGTGTTGTAACTAACAGCATCAGGAGAAAGATTAACTCTTCTCATGTTACTCAACAAACCCATTGCCTTGTCAACTTCACTTTTTCTACACAAACCCTTCAACATGAGATTCATAATATACACGTTCGGACAAAATCCACGCTTCAATATAGATGAAAGCACCCCAAACCCGAATTCTGGCCGACGGGTATGAACAAAACAATCAATCAAACCGCTTAATGACTTGAAGTCAGGCAGGATACCAACGAGGGCCATCTTCCCGTATACTGAAAAGGCTAAGTCGTAGTTTTTGGACCTTACCAGTGACAAAAGAAGATAATTGCAACTTGAAGGAGAGGGCAAATGCGAAGTAGAATTGAGGGAGTCGTGAAACAGTGAAACTGCTTCAGTGAAACGATTATTGGGTTTCTCGCAGAGGAATCTCAGCTGGGTTTCTAAGTCGGAGATGGAGGAGAAGAACTTGAACTGCGGCCGCTGCCCCCGGGAACGGAAGCAGTTGCAGGTCATTGAGATGGATAGACCGCTTTTGTTCATTGTTGAATTGAATTCCGGTGCCTTTTGACTCCGGTTTCGAGAGAAGGAACGGAAAGGGGTTTAGAGAATCTGGGAGTGGGAAGTTCCCTCTTTGATCCGTTTCACGAAGGGATCCAATGCGCTTCAGAAAATTGAGCGCGGCGGCAGTCGACGATTTTTCCCATTCATGAAACTCTTAGTCCCTATATTATGTTATTTTACCAAAAATACCTCTGTATTATAATTCTTGACAAACAAGTATCTATATCGTACATTGGAGATTTTGTCCGCCTTCACTCCAACAGGTGAACATTTTCGTCCGTAACCATTATTGAGGCGTGAATTTATAGTAAAAATGGATTTGATTGATGATTTATGTGTTATGTAATGTGATTTGAAATTCGATTTTCCTCTTTGCATTTCTTATGCTAATTAATCTCAATATTATTAATCCTAAGTAACACGTTATGTCGTGACCATGAGGTAAAAGGAGGAATTCGCCCGAAAGTCAATTTTAGGGGGAAGTATTCATTTGTAGCATACATGATGATGAGTCATTTAATACGTGTTCATGAAACATAATTGATTTGGTCCCGTTTTATAATGAAATCACATTGTAACTTTTAATATATGAACTATATATGGATAAACAATAACATGTTTATTAACAATCATAAGGATATGTTTGTTAATAAGATTGGTCTTGCCCAACTGATGTGATGTTAGATAACTTCGCTCTCCTAGCGACAAGCAATGCATGTGGTTCAATTGAGGTATCGTTACAAAGCCCCTCTGCCTTTTTTTGAAGGGTTGTATGGCCCATATAAGCGAATGAAAGGTGTTTAAGCCTAGAAAGTTCCAGGCGGTTTATGAGAGACGAGCAAAAAGCTTCTGTTCCAGGTAGTGGGTGCACTCCAAACAACCTACAAAACAGGGGTCCGTGGGCGGTCGCCCAGGACACTCTCCAACGCTCAAGTTAGAGAGAGAATAAGAAGTGTGATTTATGTTTAGATAGAGAGAGTAGTTGAGTTCCATTAATGCTGAATTGCTGATACCTGTGTATTTATAGCCAACCATCTCGAGCATGGGGCATTAAATGCTAATGTCAGGCGGCCTATATGCACCTTACCTTTTCTGAACCGCCTACGGCGGGCATTTAATGCTCAGTCCTGCTGTATCCGAGGTTGGTATCCTAGGGAGATCTCGTCTTCTGACACCAACGGTCTTTTGTGTCAGGCGGCCTAGTCCCTGTCTTGTCATAGGGCGGCCGCCTGCTGTTCCCTTTCTCCTATGCTTCTCCTCGGGTTCCCCGCTGAGACTTGGACTCCTCCCTTGGGCCCTATTCGACTTTCTTCTCGTGGGCCTCGGGCCCAGCACTGCCCAACAAAAGGTAACATAGATTGAGTTTTTTAACCTTATAACCTCATTGATATGATCTACTTATCGGGCAGGATATGATTTCAACTCCTAAAGTAAGCATAGCCCAAACAAAACTTAAAATGTTAGATACAAGTGTTTAATGTATCCACACATAACATTCGCCCAATAAATCATACAAAATAGGTGTTCCACGCAATAGATAGGGTTAATATGTTAGGGTTAATATATTTGTATGGTCGAAACTTTTCGCATATTAAACATCTTGTCCAATCTTTTTGATATATAATTGTGGCTTTAAATATGCATCAAAGTTATGAAATTGGCCAAACCCGAGATTTGACCGTTATCTTGGACGGTCAAATGCGTTGACTAACGATCAACGCGCCACGTCACCATCCAATCAGCACAATATATGTTAAAAAAATTAAAAAAACCACATAATCTCCAAATGTGAATTATTTCAATTTAGTTAAAATAAATATCAAAAAGAAAAAACAACAAAAGATCAAATGCATATCTTCTTCCTCACAACAGTAACATCGAGATTTGGGCGGCTCGGAGATTTGGGCGGCGACCAAGAAGCGAGCGGGGAGGATTTTGGGAGGGATGGTTTTACACTAGTTTAATAATTGCGAGGTGCGAGCTGGCGAAAAAGTTAATCTGCTAACTTGAAGATTCGTTAGCAGATACTAACTGATATCCAAAATACATGGAGTAGTATCCAAGTACTAAAGTATCTAGAGAGCACAGACTAGTATTCAAGGTTTGCTAACTAATATCCACCATGAATCAACTATTATCCTAAATTCACAAACTAATATCTAGATAACACAGAATAGTATTCATACTGCACATAATTAGTATCCAGATAACACATAAGAGTATCCATATTGAATACTAGTTGGTTGATTGTGGATATTAGTTGGTATCTGCTATCTGGATACTAGTTTGTGATGTTTTGAATACTAGTCTGTGTTATCCTAGATACTTTAGTGAAATTAGCAGACTTGGATACTAGTTCATACATTTTGGATATTAGTTAGTATATACTAACAACTTATGCAATTAGCAGAATAACTAGGCTGGCGAGCTGGTGGAGGTTGCCGATGAGGAGGAGGGTTGGTGGGCCCGGAGCAGGTTTTGGAGCCGGTGGGGTCGACAGAGGAGGATGTGAATGGAGACGAGGAGGAGGAAGGTGATTCACCTCGAGAAATTTGCAGTATTTGTGAATCAAATTTCTTTTTTGTTTGTCGGATGAAATTATTTTGATTTTTGATATCTTATTTTATAATAATTGTAATAATTCAAAATTGAAGATTATGTGGATTGTTTCTCAATTTTTTAATATTTATTGTGCTGATTGGACGGTAGCGTGGTGTGTTGACCATTAGTCAACGCGCTTGACCATCCAAGATAACGATCAAATTTCGAGTTTGACAAATTTCGTAACTTTGATGCATAGTTGAGGCCACGATATTATAGATCGAAAAGATTGGACAGGATGTTTAATATCTGAAAAGTTTGGACCATACAAATATACTAACCCAATAGATAAGCATAAGTTACATTCATTGTGAGATTTAAGTACCAGTCTACCACTATTGGCTAAAGGAAAGAAGATCGTGGTACCTTGTCACTATCCAACTCTTTGAATTTGACGGTCATGGATTAATGTGATAAGATCTGAATAAACTTTAACGTGCCATTGTGCTACCATATTTTCTCTTCTAAAATTTGGTTCCATATATCCTTTGAAAGGAGCCCTCTCCCTCCTTGTACATGTGATAGCTTGAGTTGCACAATCCTAACAAGTAGGATTCGAACGATGGACCTCCATTATTCATAATGATAAGTTGTGGCTCTTATCTGCTCAATACCGCTACCATGAGTTCATCATAAAGACATCAAAATATGGCATTTCACTAAGAATAATAGTTACATAATGAAAATCTAGGTATCATCCAGCGTTAGAATCAAAATTGGCCACTAGACGAAAATCCTAAGCACAAATTGTCTTAAGGTGATTTTGCCTAGTATGGCTGCCCTTGGTCTCAAGGGACAAACTATTAATTAGTGCTTTGTGTGTTGGAGACATCGAGAGATTATTGAGAGCACTTGTTCTTCAGATGTCCATGTCCGTTCAATTATGATATTTCATGGGTTTAAGCGATGTACTTGTTTGGTCCCCAACGATCAACTTTAGTTTATGGTTGTGTAGTGATATGCTATCGGAGCAGCCTCAAACTTGTATGCTATAGTGCGTTTTCTTCTTGTGGAGAATTAGAAAATCTAGAAATAAAATGATTTTTTAGTATACTCAACCACATGCCCATTCTCTTGCTTGTTAGTTTTCCTATCAAGTCCATGAAGTTGTTGTTGACTATCTTCTTTCCTTGTCTCATTAACCTCTCCTTCATCATCCAACTCCTTCCCGCAAGGTGCCCCCTCTTGGAGATTTCATGAAGATAAATTTAATTTTGTTGTGCGAGACTACGGATGTTCAACTTGCCTAGTTGTTCATGGCATAGACGAGCAAGTCTTGTTAGCGAATGGGTCTATTGATCACGGTGTGACTGATCCCTACCTTTGCACATCTGCTTGCTGCTAGGGCTGTCAATTTGGTTTGGTTTGGTTAACCAAACCATTAAGTATGAAAAACCAAAAACCAAAAACCAAATCCCAAAAACCAAAACCAAAACCATTAAGGTCCTTATTGGTTTTTGGCAACCAAAAACCAATAAGGACCTTAATGGTTTTGGTTAACCAAAAAACCAACATGTACTCATACACTCATATTTATTCATATTTCCCTCCTTTTTATTGAATAAACATCATAATAATGGTAAATGGCCATTACAAATTATTGGTTGGCATGCGTGTCAAAAGAAACAGAAAAAAAAAATTTGTTGATAAATAATTTTATTCTTATTGGTTTCTTAATGGTTTCTATTGGTTTTTCAGTTTTAACCAAACCAAAACCATTAAGTTGCTTATTGGTTTAAAACCAAAAAACTGAAACCATTAGCTTTCCAATTGGTTTGGTTTTGGTTAAAACCAAAACCAAATGGACAGCCCTACTTGCTGCTAGAGATGCTCTATCCTTTGTTTTTGCACAAGGTTGCCTCGTGTAATATTGAAGGGTGAATAAGAAGTGGTGATCCAGGGACGAAGCTAGAGTGTAAGCGGGGGCAATACACTTAACAACATTACAAAGCGAGGCAAGTTGTAGTCTAGAGGTATATAGATTTTCTTTTACATGGAAGGTCTGAGGTTCGATGGTTACTGGAAGCAACATTTAAAATTCAATAAGTTATGATTCTTAACCCCAAAATTTCCATTCTTTACAATTTGGTAGCAAAAATTTATTGTTTGGTACATCTTTTGCCCCAAAATGTTCATGCCTTACAATTTGGTATCTAACTTTTTCATTTTGTTACATATTTTGCCCATTGTTTTACAATTGCCTTGGTACCAAACTTTTCATTTTCAATTTTTCTATGGCTTACGATTTTGTACTAAACATTCCCATTTTGATGTATCTTTTGTCCATTGTCTTAAAATTGGTATCAGATTTTTTAATTTGAGGTAATTTTTTTCTCATTTTAACATTAAGTTTCTCAAATTTTACAAGTTGATTCACTTATATGTATATATGTTCTCATAAAAGCAAGGGCAAAAATGACATTTCTCACAAAAAGTAAAATAACATGTTGAATACGAAAATGACTATCACCAAAACCAAACAATGTAAAGTACATTACATCATTTTCCTTAACTAGATGCATATTACAATGCATTGATTTAAATATCACGAAAATCAAACGAGCCCAGGTCATGGAACATGTCCTAATTAGGGATGACAACAAAATCCGAACCCACGGGTACTCTACTCTACCCAACCCGGTCAACGCGGGTAAAACCCGTGTTGACGGGTTTTGGGCCGGGTTTGGATTTAAACACGTTCACTATTCACCGGATTGGGTTGAGTTTGGGTTTAGGTAAACCCGCCCCATGGGTACCCGCCCACACTCATATAATTAATTTTCCCGGTATATTTAATATTCTAAATGACTAATCTTTTTTTATGTTTGTGGAGACATGTCAATTTTTTTCTTTCTAATTGTGTAGAACGAACTTGATATTATCGAGTGTAGAGTGAAGAAGTTTAGTTGACAAGGAGGAAGAAGCTTTCAGTTAATCATGTTGTTTATAGATAATTTGTGATTTGCTTCAATTTTCTTGAGTTTTCTAGATTGGTGTTGAACAATTTGTATGGTTAATTTGTGATTTACTTGAATTTTCGAGAATGGTATTTTATTTATGGATAATTTGTATTGAGAGATTGATATTTGACTTTTATTTTGATAAAAACTTGTTATTGTAAATTTTTTACGACAAAAACCCATGGGTACCCACGAACCCGCGAATAGCCGGATACCCAGCGGGTGGATTTTACCCGGGTTTTTTCACGGATAAACCCATAAGTTTGGGTTTGACAAAACCCGACCCAACCCCACCTATTGCCATCCCTAGTCCTAATTGTTAAAAGCTTTAATATGTTTTATCAGTTAGGCAGGGGCGGAGCCAGGATTTAATCATCGGGGGGGGCCGGAATTTTCTTAATACGTTACAGCAAAAGAGGAAAAACTAGTAATAAAAATTATTTTAAAAACGTATTATTATAATTAAAACTCAAAACTTTATTGAGTTCACTACAAATCACAAAAAAATATAATGATAATAGTCGAATTAGCTAATAACTAGCTTCCAAAAAAGAAAGGAGAGGGCTACTGCTTACCAAAAAGGCAAGAAAATAAAATATATGCTCATCTAAAGAATTGAACCCGTGACCATTTGGTCCTTCTAAATTGCCAATTCCGCTAAACTAACTCAAATTTCATGTTATAATCTGCATGCTTTGTCTTTTTATTAAATACTTTATTGTTTATACGTATTATCCTAAACCATTTCCACGTAAGTTCGAGATTCTCTGGGGGGCCTGGGCCCCACTTTAGGGCCAATGTAGCTCCGCCCCTGCAGTTAGGAGTACCTACCTCGAGTAGATGCATTGATACTGCATACTAATGCACAGGGGCGTAGCTAGAGTAATGAAAAGGAGTGTCATGGCACACCCTTGATTTGGAGTAATACACACAATATAGTAATATAGATATACCAATAATGAAATGTGAACCTTAAATTTCAATGTTAATTGTCAAATATTTACCATTACAACCACAATCAATTATATAAATTAATTCTACCAACTGATTTCTACAGTAGTAATACAGTATAGTTTATCAAAATGGGGAAGATGGTACATATTATTAGAACAAATCATTAAACTTTCTATCATAACAGCAAAAAAATTGGTTCCCATCAATGTATTTGTTTGTGAAACTATTATGTTTAGTTTGGTTCTTCGTTTAGTCAATACACATGTTATAAACTTTTATGAAATGCAACAATTGACCAACCTTCGAATCAAACCAAATGAAATTGTGAATGGATAACATTAAGTGCGAAATCTTGATAGTTTGAAAATTTATGCAGTTTTAAAATAATTTCATATACCAAATGCGAGATGCATCAAAGCTCATTGTTCAAGATTATTTTAGTGCACCCCCTTAGATCAAATTCTGCCTACACCACTGCTAATGCATTTCAACATAATCACACATTTCATAAACTAATCCATCAAGTGGCATCAAGAGATCCATAGTTTACGAAAAAACAACTATATGTTGCCAGTTACTGTACACCCCGACCATAAAGAAATAAATATTATATATATATTGCCAAAACATACGAGCAGGGTTTATTCTGACAATCTCGACCTCTATCAATGTGCTGAACCCTACATTTCAAGTTGCAATTGGAATACAAGAGGTGGTCCAAAGTCCAGTCCCCATTGAGGTTTAATGGAAGGCAGACGAAAATAAAATCCCGCCAAAAACTTGCGCTGGCAAACCAGCCCAAATACGAAAAGGATGCCCTGCCTCGTACACGTGGCAGACCCTTGATGCCCAACAAGACTCGGACTTGACTGGGACTGACCGCAGCCGATCAGAGCTCGCTAACATTAGTTTCCATCACAAGCCTCTCTCTCTGTTCTTCTTCTTCCCTTTTCTTTTTCCAAAATTTTCTAATTACTGCCTGCGAGCCATTGCTATCAGGGTGAGAGAGAAGTAGGTGGAAAGCAAAGTCTCTCCCTCCCTCGCCCCCACTTTCTCACTTTCCTTCTCCCGCAAACTGACGACGAACAGAGAGAAAGCGTGTAGAGAGAGAGAGGGAGAGAGAGAGGGAGTATTATACTATTGAGGGACAGACAACCACTACTCCATCCCCTCCACCTAATCCATCCATCACCAGAGAACTACCACGAGAAAGTTTTAGGGCTCCTCCGTAGGGAAAGTGCAGTTTTGGCTCGCGTATAGGGTAGAAAGAAACGTAGAGCTTGGGGGAATTATTGTCTTTCCTTTTGTTGCGGTTCGAAAACCCTAGCGAAAGGGAAGGCAGAGAGGAGTTAAAGAAGGAAAGGAATCGTTATCGTCACTTGCTTGATTGTGGTTTGCTTTCATTGAGGACATTCGATTCCGATCAGTGTGGTTCGGGTGGAGTGTAGAGATCTCCCTCTTCCCGATCTGCTTGGTCCGCCGCCCGGCCGAGTCGGGCAGCAATGGGCAGCTCGGGTCGGAGGAGTTGAACACGGGAATGTCCGGTGGCGGCGCGTCGTTGATCCACCTCCGAAGCTGTGTCAATGTCGGCTTCTTCAGCTGTTTTTGTTGAGCGTCCTAGACCTGCTACTTCCAACACGGTACTGCATTTTCTTTCCCCTTCTTTCGGCTCTCTTGGTATTTTGATCGGACAGTGTGTGGAATTAGGGTTGAATGTAGTTGGATCTTGATCATGATGATGTTTACCAACTGCAATGCGTAGGATTTATGCATCATTTCTAGGGCTTTAAGTGATGGAAGTAAATCACTGCGTGGATGGCATTTTCCTTTTAACTTTTTTCCTTTTACAATTTGCATGATAGAAAGAAATCGAAGATGCCAATGGACATTGTAAAGACCTGACATTCTTTTTGTGGCTTTCGGAATTACACGTCAATTGGTAGATTGCTCTATTTTTAGGATGGTTCTGTTGGATGATTCTGGATTGGATTAAAATTTATGGTAACTTTTTTTAGTCCCAGTGTTCGTCTGAACTTTGAGCTTATGAAAGGATGTTCTGGTCATTGCATGAATGAGGCGGCATTCTCTTGCTTATCGTAACATAGTGGTTAAGCTCCGATTGTTTATGAATCGGTCTGAAAAACAAAGTCAACATAATATGAGGTGCCTTCTGATGCTATGCATTGGTTTTGTTCACATTTGAAGAGAATGGGGACCTGAGTGGCTACTAATGAGTAATGTCCTTGAGACTATTGGAAGATGTAGGTGCATAAATCATTACGTGACCGTGCAATGAATTACTTGTAACTTTATCCTTCCTGTCTTCCGTGCAATAGGAGGACGCTATGTTTGCACCTGATCCTTGATGAAAGTTCGAACTCTATATGTTTACAATTGGCTTAAACAACAGGATATTTAACTTTTCAAATTTAAAGAAGAAATAGTTAATTGAGTTTCATTTGTCAATTGTTATGATCAAATGCATTGTTCGTGCCATTTGATTTCAATTTATGTTTGTTTACCCATGGCCAACATTTATACGTTCTAATTCGGCCAATTCTGTGACAGGTTTTTAAAAGTGGACCTCTGTTCATATCTTCTAAAGGTTGGTGGCAGCTCTTCCTTGTTACCAATTGATTCTCAATTTAACTCTTTCCTGGTCAGTGTTCTAAAATTCAGCAATTGTGTGGAAGACTACTTTGCTAGTTTCTTTATCTGAACATTTCACATCTGCTTAAAGCACAAGATGGAACAGTGAGCTGGATTGGAAGCAGTAATGACTGAGTAGAAATTTCCTCAAACTTATCTGTACAGTTGTAGAACCATCAACTTGAACCCTATCAATTTGATGTCTCACTCATTTGTTAGAAAGGAAAACACAATCACTACTAGTCCAGTTGAGTTCATGTTAAGTCGCACACCCTTATATCTATCATACTTTGCTTGATTCTTGTGATATGAACTTGTTTGATCCAGTTTCCAATGATTTCTGGGTGGCATATCCTTCTGTTTGGTGTGGAAGGGGGGTAGGGGGCCTCTGGAGCTCGAGGAACTGAGATTAGTCCTTAATGTACAATAATATTTAAAGAGGGTGGAGGGAAACCTCATATCATCACGACCTTCTCTCATTTGGCTAGCTCAACAATAGTAAGAGGAGGCTTGTTATGAGTTTTATGTTGGAATTTTGTTGCAATTTTATTCACCTGCAAATCCTCCAGATTTCCTCTCTTAATCTCACCCATTGAATGACTTATTTGAGGCCAGAGAAATCATAGAAGAGAGATAACTGTCCTCGGACTTGAATCCAAAACTCTGCTTGTTTCACTAATTGTATGTTGCATTGTATATATAAGTTATAAGAACAAGTTTACTGTACAACCCAGATTTTGTGTGGTATGGAATGTCACAATGTTTGTAAATTTGTTAATTGCCATTTTTAATCCGTAAATCAAAGGGTTTGTAAACATTTACATAAGCTTTCATAAGATTATTATTATCATTATTCAGTGAAAGACGAATGTAAATTTGTAGTACAATTCCATTTGTCAAAATTTGCAAATATATGTATGCACCCAAAAACCAAGGTACAACATAGACGCAATCCGGGAAACAATAATTTTCTAGGAACAGTTGGTAATAATAAACCAACTTCCCATGTACTACTACTTCCACGATAATACCTCACAAATAGTAGGACCTCCTAATCGGTTGTGTTGCCCTAATAGTAATGTAGGGACAATAACATTCACCACAAGGAGGTTTGAACTTCGAAGCAAATATCATCTATAGAAATAACAATATCAGGACCTTCTTAAGAAGTAAAACAAACTGTAAAGAAGAAATAGAAACTCTAATAAGATAGGAAACTGAGCTGTAGTTTACAACTCATGTCCCTTCTTTATTATCTGACTTTTACATTTATTTTTATTCTACTTAATTGTTCTTATTATTTTCTTTCACCCTCCTTATTCTCTATTCAAACAATGCTCTACATCGCTACTTTGACCCTCTCAAAATATTCACCCTCCTCATTTCCCAAACAGAAGGGCATATATAGTATATATTCGCTTCTGGGTTGGAGAAGGAATGTCTTGTCCGGTGCTGACAGCTAGTATTCAATTCCTGCAGGACTAGGTTGGAAATCATGGAAGAAGCGGTGGTTTATCCTCACACGCACATCTTTGGTCTTCTTTAAGAATGACCCGGTTAGTTTATCTTTGTTAAGTGTCTTTACTTTTTCGACTTGTAGTTCTATCTTTGTTAATCCTCTCCACTTCACAAAGATGCCTGCTATATGTCCTTTGGATGGTACTTTGCCCCTCGTTCTTCATACTTATCAAGGACGAAGACACTGCTATTGATTTTGGTCAATATTGGACATTTGATTATCTTACCTCAGTTTGCTGTGTTTGATTGCACCTGGTAGTGAAATGATTTGTATTATTAGTGTGGTCTGTGTTTTATGATCATGCTCCAGCTGTATTATTTTTCACGCATACTATATTTGAATTTTCTTAGTGAGGTGTTGGTAATTTGTCTGTGCCACAGTCTGCTACTAACTGAAACTTCAGGTTAATTATGCATGAAAACAAATTGTTAAAGCTGTTACTCATATTTTTTCTTCTTCTTTCCTGCAGAGTGCCTTACCACAAAAAGGCGGTGAAGTGAACCTAACTTTAGGAGGAATAGATTTAAATAATTCTGGGAGGTAGTGCCTGATTACCTTCTTTGTTGTGGTAGTTCTTTGTTGGTCTTGTATTTGATTTCCTTTTTTTACAGTGTGGTTGTAAGAGAAGATAAAAAGTTGTTGACTGTTTTGTTTCCTGATGGCCGGGATGGGCGTGCTTTTACTCTTAAGGTAAGTGCTAGTTTCCTTTTCCCATATTCAAATTGACCCTAGCCTAGATTTATACTCTGAGGCCAGTTTTAATGTTGCTCATTATCTGCTGGCCTTTCCGTAAGCATTGTATGTGGCCACAAACAATATTCCCTTAACTGTTATAATGGTTATCTACGTCTAAAGTTGTTTGTGACATTTCAGGCTGAAACTTCAGAGGATCTGTATGACTGGAAGACTGCTCTTGAACTTGCCCTTGCACAGGCACCAAGTGCTGCTCTTGTTATGGGGCATAACGGGATTTTTCGAAGTGACACTACTCATCCTGTTGATGGCTCTTTCCATCAATGTTCGTACTCCATAACAAGTCTCCAAACCCATCCCTTCTTCTGTTATAAATGATATATATATCCAGTTCGTGAATATTCCTGTCCTGGTGTTTCATATGCTCTAGCCAACAATTTTGCCCTTGGTTTTCAGGGAGGGAGAAGCGTCCTGTGAAATCATTAGTTGTTGGAAGACCTATTTTGCTTGCTCTAGAAGATATTGATGGGAGTCCATCTTTTCTTGAGAAAGCACTTCAATTTCTTGAGAAGTATGGTGAGTCTAGTTGCATATACTCTGCTTCCTAGTGACTGTCTTTCTTTAACTGTGTGACTAGCTACTTTATAATGGAAAAATACTGCCAATTTGTCTAGCTGACTTCTGAAGTAGGACAAATATTAACCTGTATCGGAGGGGAAATAAAGGAGTGAAGGCTATGCACAAAATAATGTGGATTCAGAATCTGCAGGGGCAGCTATTATTTTTTGCACATTATAGGGCGCTTAGAATCACATGTGAAAATGGTTGGATTTTTTTTCTTTTTTTTTTTTGGGGGGGGGGGGGGGGGGAGTTAGTAAAACTGAATTATAGTTACTGGCATCATTCGACTCACAATCTGCGCCTCGGACCTTTCCGATGCAATGGTTGGTGGTAGTAAAACTGAATTATAGTTAGTACTTGTCATTAGAATGTCATTTCCTTGTTTATTTATATTTATTATCTTTGCATCCATTTTGTGGTCTTTGTAAATTTCTTGGGACCTCAACTGCTCTTCAGTTTCTTAGTCTTAGGTATAACATTGTTTGTGTGCCATTTGATCTTATTTTCATAGGAATTAAAGTGGAGGGTATTCTTAGACAGTCAGCTGATGTTGAGGAAGTTGATCATAGAGTTCAAGAATATGAGCAAGGTATTGGTTTTCTAGAGATCAACTTCACTATAAGTTTCTCCTGGAACCATAGGGTATCTGCGTTTCCGTTTGAACTGTTTTCGAGACACTAAATGTTCGTGTACATCACAATCTATTTTTAGGTAAAAATGAATTTGAAGCAGATGAGGATGCCCATGTTGTTGGTGATTGTGTAAAGGTACTAGTTGATAAATTGAAACTTTTTTGACAAATGGCCGAGTTCTGTACTCACCTCGGTTTTCTTTCTCTCTGCAGCATGTATTGAGGGAGCTTCCTTCCTCTCCAGTTCCTGCATCTTGCTGTGCTGCATTGCTAGAGGCCTATAGTGAGTTTTTCTTTATCGTATCTAGCTTTATAGAAGTAGCCTGATAACTCTTAATATGCTATCATCTGTGTTGGGGTATAAGATCCAAACTCAGTTGGACATTTTGGCGTTACTTAAGAAGTCAAACTTTTTTTTCCAAATGCTGTGTTGTACTGTCAGGGGCCATTAAGTCATTTATCTGTTATTTACGTTGGGGCCCAAGCATTGTTCACTGTCATCAGTTATTGAACTTTCCATCTTATCTATTTAATTTATTTTGGTACGTAATCATTGTATTATTGCCCAACGTGCATCACCATTTATTGATATTTTTCTCTCTATTGTATAAGAAATCGATCGTAAGGAAGCTCGGATATCTGCTATGCATTCTGTAATTGCAGAAACATTTCCTGAACCAAACCGGAGGTTATTACAAAGGTAAAACTTTCTGTCATTTCTCTTTCTCCAGTTTCAGGTTGCATAGTTTATTGGCAATGATGAATTCCTTGTTATATGTTGATACTTGGGAAATTTAAAATTTATTTCGTTTCTGTACACCGACATAAATACTTCTGAACTTATCTCGTGATCATTAGCATATAAATGTTGTATATTTTAGACATGAATATATATATCTAGCCAATTCTACTACTTATAGGTATTAGAATATTTTTGATTATGTTAAATTTCTGGCAAAAATTAGGGTAAAAAGTCAATAATTGATTCCGTTAAACTCGTTAAGCTTGTATCTATGTGAATCTGGTAGACTGGTAGTGCCATTTACTACAACTAAATACTCTCAATCTTCGGATTGTGGTATTCCGGAAACAAAGCTAAAGCTTCTTCATCTCCCCGTAGTTCTGGTCATTTCATATGAAAATTGGCTGTCTCAGTTTGCTTCTTGTTCAAACTTCATACAATGCTTCACCATTGAGGGATAAGGGCTATTCCATTATCTGCAAATGAGCCATTTGACAATTGCATCTGGCAGTTTACATTTCTGGAACCTGGTGAAAGATTGGTATAAATGAAACCAATGTTTACCTCCTGTTATCTTTACGCTGGGGTTTTTGCAGTAGTCTAAACTTATCAAAAACTGATCTTATTAGCCGTGGGGTTGAAAAGTATATCCAAACTTCAAAGCTGGACAGTATCCAACTCAATATCTTTGTGGTGGCTAATTTTAATTTTACTCCTTTGTGTTGGTGTTCTTCACAGGGTTCTGAAGATGATGCACACAGTCTCTTCTAATGCTCATGAGAATCGGATGAATCCTTCTGCTGTTGCTGCTTGCATGGCACCCTTGCTTCTGCGCCCCTTGTTAGCTGGCGAATGTGAGTTAGAGGATGATTTTGACGCTAATGGTGACAATTCTGCCCAGCTTCTAGCTGCTGCAAATGCAGCCAATAATGCCCAGGCTATCATTACAACTCTTCTTGAAGAATATGACAGTATTTTTGACGTAAGATATTCTCAATCTCTAGATTCTCTGCCCTTTGCTCATTGGATCTTGATATTATAGTGGCCGGGTTTCATTTCATTTTCAACTGTGATTGTCCTTTCTTCTCAATGTATGACTTGATCTCACAGATGTACTTCACTTAGGCAGAGTAGGTTCTATGGATACCTCTGCCACCAGTTTCCTTTACTAGGTGGTTTTTGATTGATATCTGGCCAACTTGAAGGCTTAGGAAAATTCGACTGAATTGCTTGGTAGAAGGGCTAATGCTATTTGAATAGATGCACTCTATACTGTACTTCTTTCTAATTGTGGTTATTGTATCTACCAAGATGGATCAGAATAAAGTGATCTATTTACTAGTTTATCTCTCTTCGTTAGGTGTTATGACCATAACGGAACGCCTTGAAGGATTTCTTATTCAGTTGAATCACTTCAGACAGATTCTTTGATGTATTCCATGACATAAGACTAACTGATATTTGAAGTCCTCAACATGTTTCTTTAGACATTTCTATTTGCACTTATGGTAGTTATGACCTCTCTTATTAGCAGCCGGGCCATAAAATTACTAGCAAGGTATATTAATTCTCATTGTGGACAAGAGGCCAGAAGAGATCTGGCTTGAGTGAATTAGAAAGATGCAGGTGTCACTATTCTTGTTTTGCTGGTTCCAGGGGCTTCACTTTCTTTTGTGTTTTGGTTTCTTGTGGACAAGGGGTGTCACGATTTTTGTTTGCTGGCTCCAGGGTCTTTTGGTGGCCCCTGTTTATTTCACTCTGTTCCTTTTCCTTCTTTTATATAGTTATTATATAACTCACTCTCACTTATAAACAACAAAAAGGTTTTTACTTTAACTTAAGCATTGTAGATGAGCTTTTATGTCAATTTGGTTATCTCCGCCGTCTCCTTTTAAACAATCTTCACAAGATGAGGATGATTCTGCTTCTGATAAGGAAAATAATAAGATGTAATTCTCGATGGTGATGACGTTTGTGTTTGACAATTTTGCAGTTCTGGATATACTGTTTCTATGTTAGATAACTCAGTGTTAATACAGTGCTCCTGTTTTTCAGGATGAAAATCTGCAGAGATGCTCTATTTCGGCAGATTCTCGGATGGGAAACAGTGGAAGTGAAGACTCTAGTGATGATGAAAATACAGATATGAAAAATAACAATTACCATGATGCAGAAAATGAAGTAGACCAAGAAACAGATGATGATGCTGCTGAGCGTGTGCTTAGTGGGAAACTGAGCGAATCCAGTGGTTCTACTGGCACTGATCTTTATGATTATAAGGTTCTCTCCAATATCAAGCACTTAAAATTTGAGATCCTACTTTCTTTCTAGGTCTGTCAAATTGACTTTCTGCTTCAACTATTGAAACCTTGCATGTGTTTCTGTTAAATGGGATAATTTTCAAAAGACAGATTTTGTTGACGAGCATGTTGCAAGTACTTACAGGGCTACTCAGCTCGTAGGACAATCTTCATGATATCTAACAGCACTTACCTGAACTCGTCCTTGCCTTAAGTGAAGGGCTAGAAGTAAAGAAAAAAGAAAGAGCATGTTGCCAAATTCAGCATGGGCTGGAAAGTAGAACAGGAAAAAAATATGCTGAGGAGGTTTAATTCACTTCCATTGATGTGAGGCCTATGTTCTGTTTCGGCCGCTCCTAGCATTTATCCACTATTTACTTGGGAATCTAATACTGACAAAGCTGCTGGCTGCCTTTTTTTGAACTTATTTGAATTTCACTTAGCAATCATCCCAATAAAAAAGAGTGATTCTAAAATTGGAAGTTCGTTGCAGTCTTTGCTAGGTACTTGTTCAATTTTACTATCACTCGTCCCCATTAAAGTGAATAATACTGAATTGGAGATGCCTAGGAGTCACTGGTAGCTATTATGTTTTTTTCATTGTCGTTGGAGGCGTGGGGGTTTGTTGTAATAACATTTGGGGGAGCCATGCGTGTTTGAAATTTTCTTAGGAGACTAGAGTTGAGGACGCAAAATGTATGTAGTGCTCTACTGTTGTTATTGTGATGATGAAGCATCATATCGAAATGGATTTTTAATATAGTTGTGGCGCTTTCTTCCCGTTTTTTGAATTTTCTTTTGCTGGATATATTCTTTTTTCTTTTCTTCTAATGGGTTATACTGATTAGTTTTGTATAACATGCAGGCTTTTGTTGGCGATGAATCAGGTGTCAGATTACCCATTGACAACCATACTCCTGCCGAGAGTGCAAACTTAGTTACTGAACCTCCACATGTTAGAGATCCTGGTGCACAATTTCTGGAGCTAAGCAAACATAAAAAGGGAAATGAAAATTCAGTCAATGAAACAGATTCATTGAGTGTTTTGCCTCCTGGTGAATCTTACCGGTCAATGGGAGAGATCCTGTCTACAATAGATGCCGAGCCTCAGGTACCTATATCACCTATTGAGTCATTAGCTGAGAAGCCAGCTGGTAAAGCGACAGCCTCCAATGCCAACGGAAAGCAGCGGTCAACATTCTGGGGAAGAAGCAATGTACGTCTGACATTTTTAATTTTTTTTTTATATTCTACAAGTCATATAAGTTGTGATATATTTTTAGTTCCAGATTTGGAAATTAATGAACTTTCTTGACTTTCAATTAAGCAGATTCTCTGTGAACTTTATATTTAGGCATTTGAAGGTTTTTGCTTTTCAGATGGTTACATATAAGTATTCTGAACAAAGAATTTCAACTTCTTTTTGGGTAATAAATACCAAAGTACGGAAAGATATCATGGGAACCTTAGGAACAAGGTTGAATATGCAAGTTTTTGTTCACAGTGGCCAAGTAAATACAGGGAAAGAGAGTATGAAAAATGCACATCCCTTGTTAGAATATGCACTTCTGTTTACTATTTCAGTTTACTTCAAACTTCGGTGGGTGTCTGTCATGTAATTTTGAGTCATTACCTTGCAATTTGAAAACTATTCTATTTGCATGTATTGCTGAGGATGGAGCATGAGAATCAATCTTATTGTCCTTCCCACTCCGAGCTCTGTTAATTGTGCTCACCCTAATTCTCCGGAATCCTTTGTTTTTATTTGCAGGGTAGAAAGACACCATCTATGGAGTCAGTTGATTCTTCTGAAGAAGAGTAAGATGTTCTCTATGCATACATGCACCTAAACTGGCTTGTTTTTCGGATATATTTGTTTCCTCTAATTTTTATCTCCTAAACCTGAGTTGAAACTATAGCTCAAACAAATGCCCTTAGCAAATTTTTTTAGAAAGAGTTGGTGTTCATGTGCTTCATAATGAAAAAAGCCACCTAATTGATAGAAACTTGCCCTTTTCCAACTTGCCCCCTCAAAATGAGAGTTTGTGTTGTTGATCCTCATAGGTCACTAAATTGAATTCCTTGAAAAATCTATAGGTCACTAAATTGAAAAAGTTCAAGTTGACTGGAAAATTGCATGCAAGAATTTGTGTCGTTGATCCTCATGATGGGTTAAGGTTTTGTGGTGGTTGTGAAGTTGATCCTAAATTTGGTCTCATCTTACATGAGTGAAATTGTGCTATTACAGGCTTGCTATTCAGAGGCTTGAGATTACTAAAAATGACTTGAGGCACAGGATAGCAAAGGAGGTTGGGAGACTTTTATTTGGATTGCCTCTGTTTTGAAGTTCGAGATGGTGATACAGTTACCTAACTGCATTTCCTATTCATAAATTGCAGGCTAGAGGTAATGCAATTCTGCAAGCTAGTTTGGAGAGAAGGAAACAAGCTTTGCATGAGCGGCGCTTGGCACTTGAGCAAGATGTACTTATTTCTATCTGTTTCTTGAGGTTACACTGTTGGTTGCTTTATTTTGTGAAGCATAGGATTGGGTGAAGTGGGCTTTGTGCTTACATTTAGGGATGTAGTAGCAGATCATGCATGTATTGGGATTTACTGTTTTAGAATCTATTCCTTTCCTGTGATATTTTTTACCTGTATTAACATTTGTATTCTTTTAGGTTATTTTCTTTCCTTCAAATTGTTGAGAAGATACAAAATTTGTTTAGTCTTCTGTCAAGTCGTTATCTCTTACATACTCCGGTCTTGTATTTACTGCCTGTTCTTTGATTATTGGTGGTTTAGGTCTCAAGATTGCAAGAGCAGCTGCAAGCTGAAAGAGATCTTCGAGCTGCATTGGAAGTTGGTTTGAGTATGTCTTCTGGGCAGTTGTCAAGTTCACGGGGCATGGACTCTAAAGTTCGTACTTGGCTTTGTGGTTTTCTCTATTTCAATTACATCCAAAATTTGTGAGAGTTATAAAAATAAGTGGTCTGTTTCCCGATTTCTAGACAAGGGCAGAGCTGGAGGAGATTGCTCTTGCTGAAGCAGATGTGGCCAGGCTGAAACAGAAAGTTGCTGAACTTCATCATCAGCTCAATCAGCAGCGGCAGCATCATTATGGTGCTGTAACTGATGATCGATATCAACATGTCCAAAACCATAATCCGCAACAGTGAGTTTCCAAAATCTTGGTGCCATTCTATTTTTTGTGCATAACATGGAGTTGACAATGGAGGAAGAGGTTTACATTAGCGAGAGAAAGGAAGTTGCGTTTAACCATGAGTATTGTGATTAACCTTTTGATCTCAGTTACTTCTTATCATACAAAGTGTAAGGTTCCAGACTGTTGAGAGCATGGCTGCAGTGTAGTTTTTGCTATTCAGTATATTATGTTGCAATCCCTTGTTTGAAAAAGACTAGTTTGAAATTTTGCTGCTTGATTAGAATGTTGAGGAATGGTGGTGCAGTGTCTTGTATTTTTACACCCGTCAGTCCATTAGTATTACTGCCCAAGGAAGTGGAGAATAGATCCGGTTAAGTTTGCAAGGTTTCAAAGCTGTTGCTGTACTTATTACTCCACCTCGTTTTGCAGGAGATTTCTTCAGCAAGATTTTGATACAACCCTTGCTTTTGTAAATCACGAAAGAAAACAGAGAACTGAGGTATTTCTAGAGAAATTGCTCGATCTCTTCTTATTTTATTCCCTTTACCTATGAACTTTCTCCGTCGATGATTCTCCTGGTGGTGTTAAGTGAAGATCAACAACAATTGACCACTAGTCTATCCTCTGCTAAAAGTTCTTGATCCTGCAAGCATTGTTTGCCCTTGTATAGGCAGTTGTAGTACTCTCTGTCTGCTGGTGCAGAAAATGGAACGTAGGCATATCACGTATTTTGGTAATGCAAAAACTAGAGTACTTATAGATAGCCATTTGAGTTAAGTGGGTACCGATTCATGATATTTGTTCCCATCCGAATTGTACTCAGGATAGCCTTAATCCTTGGAGAAAAGGGGAAAGGAAGCAAAGCAATTTATATATATCGTTATTAGGTACCAATTAAAATTCAGTGAGGTGATTATGTCTTTACCTGTAAGAATATAGGTGGTTTGTTTCAGCTATTTTTCCTGACTTTTTTTGGGTGGTCGTTTTTCTGGTTGTATTTTAAATCGCTCTTCTGGTTTTTGTTTGGATGGATGCCTTTATCCTTGCTAGCGATTAGATACCTTTCCATTACTTGCCTACATTTAATGGATCCTTCTAAATAAACTTTTGATTGCAGGAGGTTCTATTAGGAGCTGGTTGGAGGAATAATGTTAAAGAAGCAGCTGGCAGCAGTAGCAGGCAGCCTAATAATAGAAAGCAATATATGGAACCGACGACAAGCCTCAGTGACTCTAAAAGTACAGAGGAGGCTTCTGCAAACTTATCCATGGACGAGCTTTGTGGTGTTGTCGATTCTGCTCCTACTTCAAGACCTGTAGAGGTAGTTTTCTTGTGTTTCCAAACAAACAAATGCTTAACATCTATCTCTACGTGTATGTTCCCTTATATATTATCATTGCTGCATGCAGGTGACAGATTACACCAGACATCCTTCAGCAGCATCTTCTGCTTTAGTGGAACTGACGACACGCCTTGATTTCTTCAAGGAAAGGCGGTCACAGCTCATGGAGCAGCTCCACAATCTCGATTTGAACTACGGGACAACGACTTCTTCACAGGATTTTGTGTATACTAGGCCGCCATCTTCTCCTCCATGGAACTGACAGGAGGACGAGAACCTTCCAATCAGCAGTGTTGTTGTACATTCTCGGACTTCCCGTGTTTGCATATAGTTCTTTTTTTCTTTTCTCTATCTCAATTGTATTCTTCTTCTTGCTCTCTACCGAATCTAGCTATTTTTCTTCCGATACGTATGTTTGTGTTGTGAAAATTGAGTCTTGCTGCGCTCGAGGTCAGCAGTTGATGGGGAGGGTGCTCGGTCTGCCCATCTATGACAGTACGAGAGTGTCTTTCCTTTTTGGGTTCTTTCTCCCTCCAGTTTTCTATCCTATTTCGGAATTTCCCCTTGTTATTTGAGATATGCTGTGTATATGGGATGTTATGCTTGTGGTCAGTTTCTATGTGGTTCAGATGAACAATACTCACAATATTGATGAATGGTCCTTAAAGCTCTACTTTCTATATTCATCCTTCTTGGTCATTGTTGACACATCTTTGTAAAGGAATTCGTGTGTGATACTTTCTTTCAGTATTAGTTGTATCAATATGAAAGACGCTAGAGGTTTTGATAATTGATATTTGCTACTTCAAAATCCATTACATTATCCTAATGCGCAGAAGATGCTGCTGAGTGTCATAAGCGGGGAAGAAAGAAGCCAACAATCCCAAATCTCCGAATACCAGGTTTAAACAGGGTGGAAAACATTACATTGCTCAGCTACCTAGTTTAAGAAACACTAGATTCAACAGCTACAGAAGAAGAAACTACAATGCTAGTGGCCTAGCAACATTGAAATGGAACGATCCGATATACAGAGAAACTACCCCCAAAAGCTGAGTAGAATTTCACGACAGAACGAATCAAATTGGATCTCTAGCGATAGTGACCTTCAACTCAACATCAGTCCAACCATGAACCAGCTCGAAGGTGCAGACATCCCCTCGCTTCAGCGAGTTACATACTGCGAAATCCTTCCACCCAATGCCAAGCTTCATGTACTTGTTCTGTAGCTTGTTCAGCCTTACCGTCCATTCATTGCCTCCCACCACAAGTTTCACTTGCTGCTCAGTTTTCTTAATGTGCTCGTCTGCAAACTCTGCAGGAATGTACTGCGAAAAAACGGGGTATCGAGGTGTAAGTTCAAGCAGAGCCAACAGACCCCGTTGAAGAACTATGAACAAAAACTCCAAAAGATATATCTGTACCGGCCCTGTGGCGATGTAACTCGGATGCATTGTGGTCTGGTAGGAGGGTTGTTTCGTTGTGAACCCATCCACCGGCAGAGCTCTGCGTTTCCTTGAAGAAGAAGGCTTGTCAGAAGAGCCTTGTTTCTCTTCCTGTGGCATCACTGTCTTGTTCAAACCACCTCCTTCACATAGTAATTGTAACTCAAAATTAGTAAAGGTAATAAAAAAAAGGGTTAATACCTTGTTATGGCCTGAACTATGACCATGTAATCAACTTTGGCCAGTGGTTTGAGAAATTAACATCCTGGCCCGAACTATGCAGCATATAGACAAAATTGGTCGGGAGCGTGGTTTGACCGTCTATTTGGACAGTCAACACCGTTGACCGTTAGTCAATTGTCCATATCATTGCCATGTCACGCCTTGTCAGCCTATTAATCATTAAGAAATCAGAATTCAAACTTTTGACCTAAACTTATTATTTACAATTTAAACAAAAAATAATAAAAAATAATATTTGAAATTTTCCCTTATCCTCTCTCTCTCCTCACTCGGACCACACAACCCTCATCCCTTTCCCAATCGTTCTTCCCCCGACGGTCACCGAACCGGAGATCGAGAATCTGGGGAGATTGCGGCACAAGAACTTGGTGAACCTTCAAGGTTGGTGTAAGCAGAGGAGCGATCTCCTTCTCGTCTACGATTACATTCCGAACGGGAGCCTGGATTTCTTCCTCTACGGCGGCGGCGGGCAGCGATGTTTGAGCTGGGAGCAGAGGTTTAGGGTTTTGAAAGGGATTGCCGCGGGGTTGCTTTACCTGCACGAGGAATGGGAGCAGGTTGTGATCCACAGGGACGTCAAGTCCAGCAATGTGTTGATCGACGGCGAGATGAACGGCCGCCTCGGGGACTTCGGGCTAGCCAGGCTGTACAGCCACGGAACGGCGGCGTCGCACACGACCAATGTCGTCGGGACGGTCGGGTACATCGCACCGATTTCCTTGTCCCCTCTGTTTTCACCTTGTCCCCTCTTCCCCTCTGTTTCTTCTTCTTCTTTTTTTCCCCCTCGTTCCTTTATATTCCTCCCCACAAAAATCCCCACCCTTTCCAATTCATAAACTGATTCTTTCTTCCTCCTCTCTTTCCGCACCGATTTCACTCCAGTACTGCCCACTTGGGAACCCAGAAGAACAAAAAAGAAGGGGACAATTCACGGATTCACTGTCAATGGAGCTTCAGCTGGGTCTCGCTCTTCCCACCCTCGGGGGAAGAACGATTGGGAAAGGGATGAGGGTTGTGTGGTCCGAGTGAGGAGAGAGAGGATAAGGGAAAATTTCAAATATTATTTTTTATTATTTTTTGTTTAAATTGTAAATAATAAGTTTAGGTCAAAAGTTTGAATTCTGATTTCTTAATAATTAATAGGCTGATAAGGCGTGACATGGCAATGATATGGACAATTGACTAACGGTCAACGGTGTTGACCGTCCAAATAGACAGTCAAACCACGCTCCAGACCAATTTTGTCTATATGCTGCATAGTTCGGGCCAGGATGTTAATTTCTCAAACTACTGGCCAAAGTTGATTACATGGTCATAGTTCAGGCCATAACAAGGTATTAACCCTAAAAAAAATACAAACTTTAGAAGCAGGGGAAGACATGAAGTCATGAACTAAGTAGTAATTACCGTTAGCCTCAACCTCTCCATTGGATTTCCAGTAGCTCTTCTGCCGCTTCACCAGGCGGTTGTCATCACCTTGCCCAGCACCATTCGGCACCATTGAAGACTTGCCTTTCTCGTTCTCCTTCCACTGGTTTGTTGCCCCAGCATCATCCTCGTCATCACTATCCAAAACCTCCAGTACCGGAGCTGAATCCTCGATCCCGATGACTTCCCTAACTGGGTAATCAATCTCGGTAGCGGATCTACCGAATATGACCACAGAGAACTCGGAGCGACCCGAGTACTCGAAAACCAGCAAGTGGCCGTACTGCAAAGAGTAGAATTCTGCAAATCTCTGCCACCCGTTGTTGCCGAACCAAACATCTTCTTCCCCTTCCCTTCCCAGCTCCACTTCCCACTCGTCTCCACTGGGTACCTTCAAAGTTGCAGACTTTGAGTACAGCAGGCAGTCGGCAGAATCCCTGATGAACTTTCTCGGAACAAACTGCCGTACAATCAAGCAATCAATCAATGTTTACTAACTTAACTAAAAAAGGGCTGTAAATGGACGAGAAGGAAAAGTGGGGTTTTCAGTTTTGGGTTCTTTTTTACCAGCTTCTTGTCACGAATGGTGGATTGAAGGATGATCTTGAAGAAACGGGCGCCGGTTTGCTCGTCATCATTATCTCCTACTCTCCGCCTGTAATGGCCAGAAGAAGTCATGGTAGTAGTAATCAAAGCTTCAATCTTTCTTCTTTTTTTCTTTCGACTTCAGGGGAGAGCTCCTCTGCCTCTTCGGTTCTATGATAATTCTATTATATGGAGTATGCCAGTTGTTAGAAGAAGAAGATAGTCTTGTTGTTGGTGAAACATTGACATGGAACTTGGCGCCAATCACTTTTACTTTTTACCTCTGGTTTTCTACTGCACGGTAAAAACAGAGGAGTGACTTGACTCATCGGCTCTTTGGGGAAAGGGATCAAGGAAAGGGAAAAGGAGTCATGTCGTCATAGATAATGTCTTGAAAAGCAGGGACAACTTCAATGCCTCAGCAGCGCCCTACCTCCTCAAATTACAACGACGTGAACAGAGGAGATGGGACGGGATAGCAAAAAAGCACAGTGTATTCTCATTTCTCAGTCATGTTGGTCCGATATACAAATATAGGAAAAATTGGTATTATGGTGTTACTAGTAGAATTATGATTATAGCCTCGAAACACCATTTTCGTTGACTTGTTTGATACGATTTTTTGGTGCACCATTTTTGTTTAGAAACTTAAAATGAAGAAAGTGTCATGAAAATTAATGTTTTGCATGTTTTTTTTTTAGTTTTGGCCAATTGTGATTTGTGAGGTAAATGGAGACCTTGTTGGTCTTTTCCAAGGTGAGTGAACTAGTCAATAATGTGTATAAACAGAGGATTTAGACAGGAACTCATTTATTGAAGAGTACTCACAGGCCCTTCAGTTCACTTATTGCACTCAACAGCAAGATACAGACTTCTAGATGAACTCATTTGATTGAAATGGTTCTGTTGCTGCTAGGGGTGTTCAAACGGTTTGGTTACCATGGTAACCATATTAACCAGTACTATTTGGATAATTTGGTTTGGTTAATTTGGATAATTGGTTTGGTTTGGTTAAAGTTTTTAGCTTGTTTGGTTTAGGTGGTTTGGTTTGGATTCAGACACTCCTAACCAGTCAAACCAAATTAACCAGTTAAGTAATTAGTCATATATCTAACATATATTATATACACATACTTAATACTTTGCATAACCACTCAAGAGTTAATGTTCATTCCTTTTAGACTCATAAAATATAAAGCTCAATATTGCTCATATAGTGTATATTTGTATATGTAAAGTGTAGACCACAACATATGGACGCCTAATTTAGATAAATTTCATACATTATGATGGATGAAAACTTGAAAGAAATGTCATTTCCAGCCTATGATAATTGCTAAGAGACTAAGTCAATTTACACAAACACAACAATTCATTAACCCATACCATTGTCATAAATTTTTGTTAGGTGAATACTTCTATACTAATCGTAAGATAATTGTCTAAGTTTAATGTATTTTTGTTAAGGGTCATCTATAACTACGTGTTGATTTTTATGTTTTATTCATTATATAAATTGCGAATTGTTGCATTAACCGGAAATTTTTCATCGTCAATGATAATCTGATTTTATATTGGTTAATCTGGTTAACCAATTAACCAAACCGATTAAACTTTAGTTTGGTTAATTTGGTTGTTGTATTAGTTTGGACGGTTTGGTTATGATATTGTATTCCATGGTTAATGGAATTTAGCCTTATTTGGTTTGGTTATAACCATGGTAACCATTTGAACACCCCTAGTTGCTGCACTGCCATCTATGCTGCAATGGTTGAAGGTAAGAAAAATTGAACTAAAGTTACTGCTGCGTTTAGAAGCGTGTTTCCTTCTCGTGGTTGTAGTTGCTCTGATTTTTGATATATCTGATCTAGAAACCCTACCGTACCGGGGCGGTCCGATGGGTAACTAATCGTATCTAAGAATTGTTATGAATACTACTGATTCAGCCCAATGTTGCTTGAAAAAGAAAAGTTGTCACTAACCTGCATTTGATGGATCCTTCAAAGAACTAAACTTTTCTAGCTAATTTTAGGAGTTTCTTTCAGGAGCAGGAGCAGAATGCTAATGAGGGGTTCAACCTAGAACAATGCGGGCCTAAGTTTGGATGTTTTTTTTTTCTTCTTCTTTTTCTATTTGATCTTTTATGGCCACAATAATTGTATACTTTTTAAAGTGAGTCAGGCCAACTAGACTACTACTAATATATAAAAAGGGTAGTCCAAACCCAAGTTTGGCCCCAAAGAACCTTCCTTTTCCATGCTATTTTACCACTTTTGTTATGGAATACCAGCTTTCCCGTCCGTCTTTTAAAAGTAGATGTACAAGTATCATGTGGCTTATAAATTGTGATTCCATTTGTAATTAAAAATTATATCGTACTGGTGGTTTTGATCAGGAAAATCTTCTATCGAAAGCGAAATCGATAGGGAGTATTTAACTATATGAAACATTTAGATCTCCATGCGACCATGCCTATATAAAGGAGATGTCATCCAAACACTGGTTAACACTTTTACTCATCGTAAGCACATACGTATATTCTTACCATCTATGGAGAACAATCAAGACTTGAATCGTCTACTCCAGTAAATTTGTTGTAAAATTTTTTTCATAGAGAAACATTCATCAAGAACCTCTAAATCAGTTGGTTGGATTATGTAGACATACCAAAACACTTAGAAAAGAGACATTATATATGTAAACATGTAAAGAACTATATAGTTGAGTTATTAGAACCAACTGGTTCTTCACATGAAATTAAAGTATTTTGTGATAGAAAGGTCGTGTGTTCGAATCCGCACTACTAATTTGTTAAGTACATGGTATTCGGACCTGTGCAACCTTATGAGTGGTATTCGTTTGAAGGACCAACTAGTTCTTGACAAAACATTATAAAAAGATAGCTATTTCTTATGTACTAATTAAACATGTAAATTTTTTGTAATGATTAAGACACTAGTGTTGTATATGTAGCTCCTTTAATATAAGTTTGAACTTTAAACACACATTAAAAAGTTGTAAGATGCATGCTACGATTCGATCTCTTCTAGAACACCTATATTCGACCCCTAACAGAAAACCGTGATAATTTTTTTCTTATATATTTCAAGCCACTCGTTTATTTGTCGCTCTAAATCTTGACTTCACATCTTGAAACCAGTGTTCATTATGGAGTTTCTCGAAATGGACAGGTAATTCAAGCGCATATATGTCATTATATATTTGATCATTACTGAAAATTAAATTGGAATACGCGAGAAACTAAAAGGCCGGATTGTAATTATATCTTTTTTTTTTCATTAAAAAAAATTATATCTTTTTTTTTTTATTGAACACCAAACGAAAAACAAAAGACTTCTATGAGCGCGCCAAACAGTTGGCCGTAAAATTACTCTTCCTAAACACATGGAAGAAAAATGAACAGTCCACTCCCACCACCAGGGTATTAATTACTCCATCAAACTCATAAGCATGATTAACACAAGTGTAGGTTTTCCGTATATCAAATCACAAAAGGTACGTAACTAGAACAAATCACTTTCTCTTACGATATATATGTTGCTGTTATGAAAATATTATTATTATGGATGACCAACATTAGATGCTCCATGGTATGTTACAAGTTCTATGTAACTCATCTCTTTATATTTATTTCTCCATATGACACATTAGTTGCACAATTGGGTGTTACATGTAACCCCCCACCCCATTTCTATTTCACATTCATGTATATTGATTGTAAGAATGTAGAGGTTATGTGATGTGCCTATAAATAGATGATCTCCTTGTACTAAGGAACACATGAATAAGAAAGCTCTATTCCCCCTCTCTTCTTGAGTCTCTACTCTTACTCTTGTGTGTGTTCCTCTTCCTTGTTATTTCATAACACGTTATCAGCACGAAACTCTGCCAAAGTCATGGTTGGTGATTGTCTCTCTACAGAATCAAATATACTTGAGTAAGATCACAACACGATCAAGGTATGCAAATTTTCATGTCGTTTCTTGTTAGTATGTTTATCTATCTCAATGTCTTGGAGAGATTATTTGATCTTGTTATTTGTTCATATAATTTTATGAACTTATTTTATATATCTGAATCTTGTAACAAAAATATCGAAATATGAGTTACCATTGCAATGAAAAAATACATGGGAAGTTTGGATAATGACAATCAGCAAATGTTTCTTTTCACCGGAAGTGAAAAATAAAATAATTATAAATGAGGATGATAATTCATGTAGCAAAAGTCATGATCATATACTGTAATCTTCGTATGCCGAAATGTGTTATGAAACACATATATGTTGTTATTATTATTATTATTATTATTATTATTATTTTGTATGTTTTTGTATAGAATTGAATATTTGCAAAAGTCAATACTGGTATTATATCATATAGTATGAAAGTAATCAAAAGCTCTGGAAGAGATTGTGTTTTGTTACTTGAAGTAACTAAACAATATATTGGTGATAAATAGTGTGACAATATTCTTATCAATATGGATTTGTGCTCACAATAGTTCACCGAAATCAAAAGGTGCCTAATGACCAAAATGTATTACAAGAGTATATGAAAGCTCCAGAAGAGCTAATGTTTTGAGACGTGAATGAACTAAACTGTCAGTTGAAGATGCATTACCGAATTATGAAGATATTCGCAGAAAAGAATATCATAATTGATATTGCATCAGAAATGTGTTATAAGAGAACATATACTTAACTGGAGAAATTTGTACTACATGTATATTAGTACATATGAAAGTGTAAACCAGAAGTTTGCAAGATCGGATAACTTTTTATTTTGGCATGTCCGGTCATACCATCCCGGATACAGATGAAAAAATGATTGAGATATCTTACGGAAATTAAGTGAGAGTTCAGAGAATTCATCAATCAAAGGATTGATTATGTGATACATGGTCTCGAGGAGAATATACTCAATCAAAGTGTATGCAGAAAAATACACTCACCGTGCAAATCATATATGAATTTTATGATTTTGGTTGATTCATCAACTATATCATCATATGTCTGTTATCTAAACGCAACCTGATGTTTGCGAGATTAGTTGCCGAATGATGGATATATTTTGATGATTATCCAATCAAACAAAACTTCTCTTATGAGAACAAACTAAGTCTATCGATCTCTTATCGAGGCATATGATATCATTAATTCGCATGAAGCCAACAAGTTATCATAAGTTCTCCCCTTTCAGGGACCAAACATTTAAAATGCTAGAAAATTTGGGTGTGCAGAATACATCCCAATTGCTCCACCACAACACGTTATAAGTTCCATGAGAATTTATGTTGGACATGGTGTCCATTGCAGTGAGAGATTTGTTCATGACTCTTTTTGCTAATATCATCATTTTGATGAATTACTTTTCGATCGTTAAGGGGGAGAAAAGTAAACACTGGGGCATAGATGTGAGTTGGAATCATCATTATCTCATTTTGATCCTCAAACGAAGAAACATGAACCCGAAGTTCATATGGTGATTCATGGAGGAAAAAAACGTATTGATTGCCAAACGCCTTTTTACTCACTAAAAGGAGTGATTATGTCAAATGCCCAGTTGTGAATGCTCCAATACAAATTGATGTCCATATTGGATAATCTAATGAGTCTAAACGAGCGCATGAAGCGTGGTAGACCAATCGGTTCCAAGGATAAAAATCCTCGAGAAAGGAAGGAGCAA